ACCCTCACAGGAGCGAGGTAACATCCAGTAATAAATTGAAAATATTAAGTCTGTTAAATGAATGGCTGCACTCTGGAGCAGTGAGAGTACCACCTTCTTTACTGTGTTGAAGCACTGGGTAACTAGTTGTTTCTCAGTTAGTGTGGAGAGAGGTCTTCTATGCATCCAGAGTTCCCTCATATCAGATCCAGGTTCTCATCTCTTGCCCATGAATGATTTGCTCCAGTAGGCTCCTTATTGGCAGATAAGGCAGCATAAAACACAGCTATATGTGGTCTTGGCAGCACAGAATCAAGTGGTGTCAGCTGTGTCATCAGATTCCTAACTACGGAATCTAATGTCTAAATTTTAAAACTGTATAAGCCAATCAGTTTACCAAGGTGTTAAAATTCATGTATTCTCTCCTCTCAAATTAGCTCTCTACATTGCATTTGAGTTGCTTTGTGGAGAGCCATGTAAATGTCCTTAATATGATGCAGTTGTCGTTACAGTTTGAAGACACAATGGAGAGACAGTATTATTTCCTTAGTGACAACTATCTTCTGTGTGTGTCTGTGTTGTGCAGCACTGTGACGGCAGCAGTGTTCACGGTTGGCGACAACGTGGTTTCAGGGAGTGACGACCGCACGGTCAAGGTGTGGGATTTGAAGAACATGAGGTCGCCTATAGCAACCATCCGCACGGACTCAGCTGTGAACAGGTAGGTGGACTCCACACAGAGAAATGAGCTGTCAAAGCTCTTCTCAAACCATCATGACACTGAATATTTACACATTTTACACCCAAACTTATGAACATTATATAGAGTATTATTGGGACCTGTCTAAGGAAACGGGATTGTTGTTACATATTTTCTTAAAGTAAAGCTGTTCTGCTGTCAGGCACAGTTAAATGAACATAAATTTCACTTTTAAAGCCACAAGAAGTCCTTTAAAATGATAACAAAAACAATGGATAAGGACTATATTTACGAAATAGAAAGGGAAGGGTGGCAAAGTGAATGAGTTTTGAGCTGCACAAAATGGATATGGTATGGTTACCAGTTCTTTTCAGTGACATGCAAGTCATACTGTTGTGATGCACAGGGCCTTAGGAGAGTTTGCTCAGGTGAATGAACCCAGCCTGACCCTGATTCAAAGTGACCTTAGATGTGATCTTTCAGGATAAGCGTCTCTACTAACCAGAGGATCATCGCCCTGCCGCATGACAATCGACTAGTCCGACTGTTTGACATGAACGGAATGAGGCTGGCCAGACTTCCACGCAGCAACAGAATGGTAAGGAAGTGGGGAAAAAGTTAAAAGGAATGTGTGTACAGGGCATCCTCGGTTCAATGGGCTTAAATTAGCTTTTTAAATTTAAGGGCAAGCGGTGTACCTGTGTGTTACTGACACAAAACTAACTAAAGTGAGAGTTCTCTGCCACATTGGGTGCATTCCATAACCCAGCCAAAACCAAGCATGGTGCTGGTTTGTGCCTACCTAAGTCAACAGCTTAGGCCACATTAAGATAGACATTTGCCCTACGTGGTTTTGGTGAAGCCCCTCATGTTGCTAGTTACCTTTTTATCTGGGAGCTTTGTGACATTGTTCAATGAAAAATATGTATTTAATGTTTTCACTTTGTGCAACTCAAAAGCTGAGTCTTTGGTTTGCTGAATAGCCTGTGAAAGGATGGATGTGTGGCCAACATGCAGATTATGGCTTGTTCAGACTGATACCCAGGTCATTTTGTGATAGACCCTCCTCAACCAAGACGGCCCCTGCTAGTTTTCTCAAATTACCATCCATGATTGTATTTATTTAATTAAAAGTTTTAATTGCTTTTAGTTTTATTTCATGTATTTACTTTATTTCTCTTTCTTTATTCCCCCCTTTTTTTTAATTTATTACCAGACTACATATAGAGTTGGACATACCCACACAACACACCATCACACACAAACCGCATGTACACTTTCCCTGCATTGTTCCGGAAATGTCCGTTATCCATGTTCAGTGTTTTGTCTGAGTGGGATAAGTGAAAGAGCAGCACCCTCATCAGCACCGCTGTGGTGTTCCTGAGTAAGGCCCTTAACCCCAGCGACTCCAGCTAAGCTGCTCAATGGGAAGGCAGGTTAGACTGTGGTTGTACTGGGCAGCTTCCAGATGTGAATGTGTGTAACTTTGAATGTGATCAGGGTGTTCCTGCAGAAGAGAGTTAACCTGTCAGAGAAACCCTCCTGACTAAATAAAGGTTAATCAAAACGTGCAGCCTGCACTTCATTTAAGAGAGTTTTAATAAACAGCCAAGGTTCTTGCTGTTGGCATCTTTGTGTAGATGACACTTCTTGTTCACCTTCAGATGTTTGTATTCTTCTAGTTTTGTGCCAGTCATATAATCGACATGTCATCAGTGCCCACTAGATCAGTGTGAATTCTCCAGACAGTAATCCTCTCTGTTAATGTGTGGGCTCACTTGGACTTTACACGGCCTTTGTACATGGGACCTGGCAGGGTAAAGTCTGTGTAATGTCTGGTGTAACTGATTCACACATAGGCAGTCACACACAGAGCTCTTCTGGGTAATGTCTAGATAGGTTGGGGTTGTAGTGGATGTCTGGAAAGGTCTTTTGTGTGAGATGCAGTTCAGTTGGATGTAATTATTATGCAGTTATTTAACTTTTTAAAGTCTTTGCCTTAGGTAGTGGAGGTCAAGATTGGCAGAAGTGGTGATATAGTCACACACTCAAGTATTTTAGTTCACTAGATACATATATGATATGAGCATTGAAGTAGTTATATTCTGGTGCCTTCATATAGGGGAAGCTACTCAAGTCTAAACAGTTAGGCAAAGTGAAAAGAGTCATTTTATCTAGGATTGGTTGTAATGTCCAGCCCAATGCAGTTTAGCCCAATAAACATTTTGGTTACTACATTTGAATAGTTTTGTATGAGATTTTGTTTTACAGAGATGCATATAAATATTGGAAAAACACATGTGTGCAGGGACACAGGCGTATGGTGTGTTGTACAGCGTGGAACGATGAGAACCAATTGTGCAACCTGTTCACCTGCGGCTTCGACCGACAGGCCATCAGCTGGAACATCAACATCCCTGCACTGCTGCAGGAGAAATGATGCCACTGACACACACAAACACACATAATAACACATGGTGAAACAGGAAGACTCATCAAAATCCATCCATATAGGTATATACAATACTGTACAACTAAACACTGTAATCTGTGGCCTCATACATGCTAATATGATTATTTATCCTGTGAAACAGTTGAGTTTCAGCACATTCCAGCAGCTGAGCTGAATGTGTGACAATGGTATTTATTATCACATTTACTGTATGTTACTTTTGCAGATGCAGCTGTTTGCTACACTGTTGGGTAAGAACATATACACCCAGACGAGTTATTCTGCCATGTGCAGCTGAAGCCAGTGCAGTGATTTTTTTTTTTCTTTCAGGATATCTCCTCTTTTTAACTTTAAAGTGTGTATGAGGTCATGGAGCCTGTCTACTGTATTTGACCGTTCCACCTATTTAGCATGAATTATAACATGGCCAGGCTGATCTGTTCACCTGTTCTGTTTAGATTTGACCCCCCAGCCCCAGGCTGCTGATGTTTAGTTACTGCTGAATGGCTGCTCTTGCATGTAGATAAACGTGGTTTGTGATGTACACTTGTAAAGTTGTGAGGGAATAGTTCTAAGGTAAAATATGGTATAAAGACTTTATTTATAAGTGATGTTGTGACCTAACAAAGCGACCTGTGTTGCAGGTTGTTGCTTGGTAATGAGTTAGTTTCTCACAGTTACCCACCTTTTCAGGGTGGAGCTGGAGGAGACGATGCACTTCTGTGAAATGTTTTAACCTGGATTATATTTTTATCATGGAGCAAAATGTATCCTAATCAGGTCTGCTAGCTGACTTGTGATGGGATCTGCTGTCCTGACTGAAAGTTTCCTAGAGATTTCAGTCCTTGCTTGTTACTTTTTGATGCTTTCAGTTCACAACCAGCCTGCATCTTTCCAGATGTTCTTGTCAATATTTCAAAAGTATGATGCTGTAACTCTGCCTAGTTCCACATTTACAGTAGGATTAAATTTTTATTAAGTTTTATTCTGCCTTTCTGTCAGGAGGAAACATATTAAGAGTATAGCAATAATGGGGAAAAGACTGCACATATGAAATCTGTGATATACATGATCATAGTGTAGTGTTTCCTGGTTAGGTCATCATAATCTGCCCCCATATGTTCTGACTAGTGTTGCTGTAATGTGATTACTTCCATTGAACTTGCTGGTTGCTGGTCATCTCTGTGTTTCAGTAACAGTGAATATGAAGGAATAGTGTTTGCACTTTGCATCGAACCTTTAGCCTCATATGAACTCTCGCACCTTTTTGTTATAGATGAGAAGTGTGCTTTTTCCAAAATACAGAAGCAATAGCAATGTTTCTGGTGCTCAGAGTGAAACCCATTTTTTTTCTTGGAAATCAGTTAATATGACTCAGAACACAGTGACTCTCAGTTCGAGACTTAAACATTAGCTTGTGTGGAAGAGAGCTTGACCAGAATCCAAGAAACTTTGTCACGCTTGTGCAATACCCTAAACACAAAGTCATGCTGTAGGTTTTGATTGTTCAGGTGTGTAACTTATTTCAGTGCTGTAAATCTCATAAAACGGTTTATTGTACTAGTGTGACAGGTATAAATGTAGCTCATTGTACAACCCAAAAGTTGGCTTCAAGACACTTTGTTGCTGTTTCTACCAACAACAGAACTAGGATGGATTTTGAAGTAGCTCAACCTAAAGATTTTAATAAACTCATTGAGATGCCTTACCTTAGCAATGAAGATGGTGCATTAACCTTATCCTTCTGAGCATCGATACCCTTTTGCAAATGCTTGTTAAATAACTAATTGTGTTCCACTGCATAGTACAGATAGGATTTTTATTCCTCTTTCATTCAGGGAACTCAATCTTGTGCCCACTGGTTTCAGTGTCTTTTTAATCTGCAGGTAGGGAGTCTGATTTTTGCACCACATAGGAATTCTTATTCAAAGGAAATATGATTTTGGATCGATACATTAAATTACCACATGCCAGATTAGAGGGGTAAAAAATGGATAGGCTTTACTTCATTGTAGCAAATCATATTCACCTCAGACTTCATTATATGATCTACTTTGCATACTTTATTGTAACAAGTTTGCAAACTCTGACACTTTACAATAAAATGTGTGATTTCCTTTTCCAGTGCCTGGTGTCTAATTTTCATCTTAACACAAAATCCTCTCACCTTTTGTTCAGTATCATTTTGAGAGTCATGCTTTATTCATCTGGATGTGGATCCACTACCTTGGAATAATAATGTCTTGTGTTAATGAGTGGGGAACTGTACAGTGTATGCATATTTGCACTGATTGCACAAAGAAATGGTTATTTTACTTGGCTGTTATGACACTTAATATTTTTAGTTTGTGTATCTTTGCTAAGTAGTCCTTCAGTTTAAAGGAAGCCATATGGTAGCATGCAGTAGACCTGCAAACACTTCATTTTCGCACATTCCTCCCTAGCGTCAACTGACGCCCTCCTCTGTGAAGAGGGTTAAATAAAGGATTGTGGATTTTACCAGTTATTTTAGTTAAGATTTGTCTAAAACCGGGTTTCTACTGTCCTTTTTCACAGCAGATGTAGGAGAAGCAGCAGGAAAAGCACAGGTCTTACTGGTGACTTTCATGATGGCTCTGTTCTATTCTTGTGCCCCAGTAAGTCATACACCAAATCAGCTAGATAGAATTCCTCCTTCATTAATTTATTATTACTTCATTATTTATTTGTGCCTGTGCTTTTCCAGTTGTGACATGTCAAAATGTTTTCTGCGGAAAAGGCCTGTTATGGAGTTGCTTCTGCTCTGGGATGGATTTTTAAAATCAAACCTAATTTTGCATGGGGTTGCTTGAAGATTACAATTCAAGCAGAAGGATGATGTTTAAGTTGACACTCTTTGCACACCAATTTGTAACATCTGAAGTAGTATTTTCAGCAAATGTACTTGAAGTGTTAAAAAGAAAAGTACTCAGAAAATCGACAACTGTGACAAGTACTGTATATTTAGTGTGAGAGCTGGAAGCTTTTTTCTCATTTTGAATGAGATGATGATGATAATTCTGTTTAAACCTCACACTGATGTTTAAAGGGGTGTTAGTCCGATATACCAGTGTATGAAATAACTGTTCAGATTTCTGTAGTTCTTTCTAGTGCGTTGTAACTCATTGTTTAGGGGTCCAAACTCTGCTGTTTCATAGTGTTGTCACCCGCAGCAGTATGGTGGCCCCTAGGGACAAAGCACATACAGAAATAAAAGCATAAACGTTACAGAAACGCGCTGCAAATCCAAAAACACAAAGTCAAAGCAAAAGGAAAACCACTGCAATAGGGAATTGACTTTTATATGTTTTGGCACTTGCAGCATGCTTCTATACTGTTTGTGCTTTTTCTTCTGTATGTGCTTTGTCCCTGCGGGCCACTGTACTGCAGGTAGTGGAATATAAAACTTATTAACGTAAAATTATAATCTTGAAAGTAAGCAGTAACTATAGCTAGTACATTATTTCCCCTAAAATGCAGTGAAGTTGAAATAAGATAAGCAAAGTTTAAGTACTTCCTGTCTGGTAATCTTCCAACACTGCTATACTGTTTTGCATGAGGAAGGACAACTGTTGTCAAAAAAAGGTTGGTGCCTATGTTGTAGAAGTGTGTTATAAATGCTACTGACCACAGTTAATATAGAAACCAAATGCATTTGTTGTGTTAGAGAATAAGGAGGCATTATCCTTATGGAAGTGCACTATAAGGGTCTAAACCTACATACTGAAATTGTGGATCTTTGATTTCACTGAGAAACCACAAGACTCTGTGGAGATTTCTGTACTTGTTCATTAGATTGTAGCTGGTTGGCCATGACCAGCCACTGGAGCAAATTGTCAGTTATGATGTTTGTTGTCGAGCACACAGCCAACTTCATGGCCTCAGGGGAAAGGGTGGTTGCTGCTGTGGCGGTCTAACCCACCCCCTCTCCTTCCTTGCTTCCATCTTTCTCTAGGCTAATTTGGTGGCTGGTCTGCATGACACCTGCCACTGAGCCTGACAGACATAACTGTTTCCCCACATATTTCCTCTGGGAAAGGCAGGGGAGGGGGTCTCTTTAATATTTGTCTGCTCATTATTAGATTTTTATGGGGTGGGGGGTTTGAGTACATTCAGTTGTTTTATATCAATTCATATAATGCAGAAACTGTCCAGACAGGATAAAATGACAATATTTTGTGGTTTTATTCACATATACAGTACAAACATTTATTTTTTATTTCTAATTGAAGTGCAATTTACAGACATTAGCAGCAGTTATTTATATACTTTCATATACATCATAATTAGTTTAGGGTCTCTTTCATGTCTTTATCAACATGTCCTACACGGTTAGTTTTTTTTATAACATATGTAAACTTGTAGACACAGTATTGCCATTCAGAGTTAACTTGCATACAAAAAAGTACATCTGTTTTTATGGCATGTAGCCACTACATAACATGTTGTGGTGCAGTGAGGAGCATTGTTACCTGTATATCGACGATCAATGTCAAGTCTGAATTGAGCATGTGTGGCCTGAGGATGATGCACGTAGAAGACAGACAAATGCTCTCTGTTCTGATACACACTGATGGGATTTACTAAAAATATGATTTCTGCCATTATGGGAAAGCAGATTTACAGGTTTCAGTACTAGGTTAGGGTGTATGCCAAAAAAAAAAAAAAAAAAAGAAAGAAATGCGACAGTATGAATTCCTTAAGTCTGATTTTTGATCTTTTCTTTCTTTCTTTTTAATAATTAAAGCTGCCTCTAGCCAAGGCTGGATCACTAACTGGGGCTCACACGCTCAGGAGCCCCAGACCTCCGGTATTGGTAATTTGATGAATTGCGGATATACCAGGGAATGTGCTTTATTAAAGTTCAATATTAATTAATGCAGAGACTTGCTTCATAAAGTAATGTTGCTGCCCTGTCATACCCTGTTACCTTGAGTCAAAATCTAATTATTTTAAGTAGGTGTGCTTGCACTGATGGTGAGAAGGGTTACCGCAGCATTTTTCTCATTGTTCCCTTTTCTTCATTCTTTTGTCAGATTTTTGGCACATACCTCAACCCACAGTTTTAGAGCAACATGCATCAAATTCAAGTGTATTGTAGCAGTTCTGGAGAACAGCTGTACTGTGACCTTTGGTAGAAAGCCAGAGTATGGTGTAAATTATTTTTATTTTTAACCTTATCTCCCATAGTGACAACAAACCTGAATCAATTCTTCCCTGTACAAATAACCACAGCCTTTAAAAATGTGGCAGCTGTAGCCACTAACAGATGTTTGAAATGGTGTAACTCTTCAATGCAATATTCATTTCCAACCAAAATTCTCAGTTCTTGTGTGAAACTGCTTGTATGTAAAATCATCCCCACACATACAGTGATTTCTACCAACATGCTTGTTTTTCAACCTAGAGCTGAGTTGGACAGACAGTCTATACTGTATCCTCACTGGAGCTCATAATGTCCCCAGAACTATAGACAGAAATGGATCTCGGTAATGGTGACAAATGTGTGCTACATGATCTGCAAATAAAAAGATTTACAAATGTGTATGAAGATTTGTGGGTTATTTATGATGTTCAAAAATGCACAGCTCAATCTGCAAACAAGTTCTTACTTTGAAATTATAAGGTTCTATTTTCATTCTGACTGGGTGTGCTTCAGAATGGTCCCATCTTAGAAATAAAATAAAATATAAAAGTTTTAATTTGGCAAAATAAAAGGTACGTTAAAGTCACATTGTCAAAACCCTGTCATATTTCTAAATGGGTTGTTAGAAGAGTTGCTTTGCAGATAAAACATTCTGAACACTCAATTTTCACAGAATAATAACATTGTCTATTTAAACAGGTCTAGAAACGGTTTTTAAGTAAACATTTTAGTCTTAGTACAGAAAATCAATTAATCATTGTTTCCATTAGTAAATTAAGTTTTTTTTTTTAAGTTTTATTTTTTAATTTGAAAATATTTGTGAATAACAATTCAGCAACAGGGTTTAATTTAGACAACCTTTAGTTTTCTTAAACAGATTCAAACTGACCATACAGATGGTGAAGCTGTACTAAACAAATTAAAACATTCTAAAAATTTCTCTCCGATGTCTCCAGATGCTTTTTCTTAGTTTCACATGTACAGTATTTTCTGTTTGCTGCTGTCCCTGGCTGCTTCATGCTTTCCATCTTTCCAAACTTCAGCGGCGTAATTAAAAATCAAATGGTGTCTTTAAGCAGTGGCCCATACCCAATGTGGAAAATCAGCTTTTTGCCAAATTCAAACAAAATTCTAAAAAGATTCTTAGTTTAGTCAGCACCTATAAAGGTGACATTTACAATGTCAACACTACACTGAGTTGTGAGGTTTCATAAACTCACATCTGACACATGTCTCTTATAAGGACTGTCATTTCCCTCACTTGCATGTTTTCCTTGTGTCTTGTCCTGCCAACATAAGATACAAGGAAAGAATGTGAGCAGAGAGAACTCAAGGAAATGACGTGTGACATTTATCATCTGAAGTGTCCAATCACCAACTGATTTCTGATAAAGGGGGACATCAGTTCACAGAAAACTTCCAGCAAGTATGGTCTCCTGTATCCTCTGTCATAGCTCCTCCAGCTCCTCACTCTTTACTCCTCGGTCCCGAGAGCCGATATAAGAGATGCAGAACTTCGACAGGAATGATTTCCGGATTGACCGAGGAATGAGGACATAGGATTAAGACATGAGACGTACCCACAGTCTCATGACTGTTTCTGGTCCTTTTGCCTCAGTCACAGAGTAAAGAGATGGAGCATGATTGGTTCTCCTCTGAACCTTCTGAACACTTATCGGTGCTTTGCAGTTAGAACTTTATAGAACAAAGTTAGACAGGTGCATCCCAATTCACTGAATTATATCCACTTTTCGTAATCTCACCCATGTAAGGTTTTCTGACTTGGCATACTGGAACACGGTCAACTCAGGTGTGATGTCATTCCAACCACCGAGGTAAATGGAACACAGAATAACTATGTGAGATTCTTCATCTGAGGCATCCAATCACCAGCTGATTTCTGATAAAGGGGTGTGTTGATTCATAAAAAACATCCCTGAAGGATGGTGTCATGTATCCTCGGTCATGGCTCCTCAAGCATCAACCTCGCTCTTGATCCTCTCTCAGAGGAGGAATAAGAGACTTGGGATATCCTCAAGTCCTGGAATGATTTCTGAATTGAGCGAGGAGTAAGGAACAATAAAAAAAGGAAACTGGGATTTACCCAGAGAATCCAGAGCACAGACTGTATAATAAAAGATGTGATGAATCCCCAGAGGTGGAGTAACCACAAATCGATTGAGCCCTGGTGGCATGGCTGAACAATTGTCCATAAACTCAAAAATGAATCCAAAAGCAAGATGGCTGCCCCTTTATTCATAATACTGTATAGTATCTTGGCTTCACTTTTGCATAATGGTAGGAAGCGGTGACACCTTGTCTATCTTTATATATACTGTAGCTTATAAATTAGAAATTTAAACTTTTTTTTTTCTCACTTTCTAGTTTTTAAAACAGAAGAACACACTCAGTGACCAAAATTACCTTGCCACCCTTAATGTGAAGATATCTCATGGGAGTAATGTTAATTATGCATGTATTATCATTATGGTGAAAGGGAATTATTTCAATTCATGGTCACTTTCATAAAATGTTTTCTAAAAATAAACAGTCCAGGCACTGAGGTAGAACATGTGCTATTATCAGCTGCTCCAGTACTAGTGACAAACTTTACTGTGGAACAAAATGCTAAATCCACTAGCCTCTGCTCCATAAAGCATACCCCTGCCTGAGACCTTATTCTCTGCAAAGGATTCCATGCGGCAAAAACAGAGAGAGGCCTCTGTCTTCAGTGGACTAAAGAGATCAGCCAAAAGGGTTTTGTTCCATATAACTGCAGCAGGATATGGTCAAATTTGTCATTTAACATTTTAGCATAATTATAGCATGCAGCTTATTAGTACTCTATGTCCTAACACAACATTAGCATAAAAAACACAACCATTATAAAACACCTGTTTAGCTGACAGACTGCAGGTTATGTTATTGCCAAAGGATAACAGTTAAAGATCAATGAACTATGTTTAAGGGCATTTATTAGCATACATTCACATGAATGCTAATAAATCAGGGGTATATGTAGAGTGGCTATTACTTCAGAAAAGTGACCTAATTTTTTTCCTTTCAAGGCACTTAACAGGATTGATGACTGAAAAATATCCTCATTCATGATATTAATCTAACCCTACCCATTAGAGGTGAAGAATGTCATCAATGTAATCTATACTTTCACCGACAGTGTGAATGTGTTCCACCCTACAGTATCAGTGGATGTGCAAATAAATCAGTCTCCAAATGTGACTTTGTATTAAACTAAAACTAAACCAATACAAAATTAAAATAACAAAGAACAGTTTTGTGTGAGAAACTCTTTATAGACAAAGGATGCCAAATAGAACCTTGTCATTCTATGGTCACAAAATACCAAATAACTGGAACAGATGTAAAATAATTTTGCAAATAAATATATTAAATACATCCCAATTTGAACAGATATAGTAATTTACAGGTATACTGTGTATTCACCTTCAAGTTTATAGATCTGATATAATGTGCTTCCTGTGCAGTTCCATGTCTAAAAATATTTGTGTCATTCTTTGGCTTTTTTTTTTTTTTACAGGTTGTTAAATATGTGCATAGATCAAGACTCTTCACTGTCTGTAATCTACAGGCATTGCATTTAAGTGCTGGCTGAAAACATGGGTGCCTGGCTTTTTCCGCTCTTTCATGTGTAAATTCAAGGTGGGAAAAGTGTTTTTTCCAAAAGGATACAGCTTGTCACCCTATCATTAGACAATAATTAAAGTATTTTGCATGGAATATTCAAGGTCCCCTTTTCTTAGTTTCATCTTTATCTCTACAGCTAGAATCTTTATGCATTTGCAATTATGTGAATGTGAAAGTGGTACCAAGCCAAAAAACTGCAAAAGACACAATCACAGATCCTGTGACTAGCATCTATATTATAGCCTATATGGCAAAATCAACAGTCAGTGAACTTTAAATATATGTGTTTAAAACAAGTTAATATTTATTTAAGTTGTGAACATTTTTTACATTTCTTCAAAATGGTTGGTATTTGTGGATTGGACAGTGTATTTGTGAACACCATAAATCACCCACAAATCTTCACACACATTTGTAAATTGGAGTTTTATTTGTAGATCATGTAACACACATTTGTCACAATTACAGACTCTTCTCTCTCCACACAGACCTGGGGGCTCAGTGGAAGCAGGACTGGGAAAACAGCAACAGAAAAGCACCACTAGATGTCACTCACACTACTCTGATTTTACATGTGACTGAGCCATGCTGGTGGCACTTTGGATGCCTCATCTGTCTGAATTCCTTAAACAGAACACAGCTATGACAGAACAGCACAGTCATGATCATAATGAATATCAGTACTTATTAGAAAAAAACAAATGCATAAAAATAGTGTGAGGTACAAATTTATGTGATAGTGAGTAGAGATGTCTGTATATGTTTGTTTGTGTTCTTTAATTCTTAGATAAAGCCGTGTGTTTCAGCGTGCCAAAAATGGCACTCGTAAAATACGACCCCTCAAGTTGACCACAGCATTGACAGGGAGCAAAACAAAACCTTCTACCACCTTGACTGTTATCTGTTCAGGGTGGTCATGACTACGGAAAGTCCATCAGGTCAACAAGGCCTCACTAATGAGCCACACTGGAACCTTCCTCTTGCCTGTGACCACAAACTTCCATTCACATGTGCGCAAACTGGCCACAAAAGGCAGAAAAAAACTGAGCTCCTCTAGGTTAAAGGACAGCAAGAGAAATAAGACTGGTGTGAAAGAGATGGAAATACAGGAAACTGCTCCCCCTCCTCCATCACCACCTTCACTCATACTTAGGCAAGTTGTAATGACTGTATTCATGTACCTCTCCTCAATTTGATTCTTCTAGTTCTCGCTACCCGGTGGGGTAAGAGTGTGAGAAAAAAAGTGTATTAACCTGTCGTCGTGTCATGTTTAACTCATTTGAAAGGCAGGGAGAGAGGCGAGAGAAGTAGGTGGATGAGGGGAGGAGGCATAAGGAGACAGAAATCAGGAGTCAAAGGGTGGGTCAGAGAATGAGGACAAAGAGAGGAATGAGAGAGGAAGGTGAGGTGGGCCGCTTAGCAATGGCCAGTTCTTCTCTTTTTCTCACTCCCTCTTTCCTTCCTCTTCCTCTATCAGCCATCACCCTGACAGGGCCGGTAATTGGACGTGGACCCCTCCTTCTTTTCTCTCTTCTGCTTCTTGCTTGCTCCCCCCGTGGCTCTGCTCCTCAGCGGGAGCCTTGGGGCCCCGGAAATAGCTGATGACAAGATAGTGGCTGCCTTTCATTTTGCTTGACACCTTAAATGTGTGTGTTTGTGTGTTTAAAGAAGGGCAAGTCATAGAAATTGTTCATTTTTTATGTCCCCTTTCTCTTCAGCCCATCCCAGTTGACCTTCCTCTAGATGTTTTTGTATTGGGTGGATGATGTGGTGATTTTAGAGGTTAGACTGGGAAACGTCCATGCGTGAAAGTGTGAAGCAGGATGATCTTATTCTAAAAAAATAAAAGTTACACACACACACACTCACACGCACACACTCCTCAGATCGGCAGCAGGAACTGCTCTTGCTCGGGAGGTTTCTTCACCCAGGTGCCCAGGCCTGTTTCCTGCAGAGATCTGAACCACTGCTGCTTCGCTGTCTGGTAAAGACATGCCGCCATCTTGGCCTCACAGTACATGAGATGGCGCTCTGCCAAGCTGGACGTGTGGATCCCCAACTGAAGAATGTGAACGAGTGAGAGAGAATGAGAAGAAGAAGAAAAAGAGAAAGAGAGCAGTTGGGAGTCAGATAAAAGTGCCACAGACATGAAGAAAGGGAGGGGAAACAATGAGAGGAGTAAAACAGGGGGCAGAGAGGCTAAAGGTTTTGTAGGAGAGGTAGGGTGGAGGAGTATGCGGGTGGTAGAGAAGAAGAAGAGCGAGCAAAACAAAACGAATGAGCCGGCACAAATGCATTAGGATCTCCCCATTTAAATTTCACAAGCAATTGAACATTCTCTGTGCTTTTTGTGCATTCCTATTGTCGTGAGGGGAAACAATGAAGATTGGTGGAGAGCGAGAGAGGGGGAGAGCAAAAGTTTCTTTTGGAGATTAGTGCGACTGCTCTTGCGTGGCCCTTATATACGGCGTGCAGGGAGCACTTAGAGTGGGGGCTTCTTCGAGTACTTCTCCAAATAATTATGGTTTCATAGTCATTATGCTTTAACAGCCGCCATTTGGTGATGCAGGCAGTGTCTGTTACATAAAGTTTCAGAATGGAAATGAAAAGTGCGGCGGGTCTGTGTGCTGCCGTTAAAGATCTGAGCTGCCGGGTTTTGATCAGCCACAGAGACAGCAGATGTTGCCGGAAACTCCACATACTGTACAGTATCATCTACAGTGTGCCTCACCACTCTGTGATTTTAATATATGTGTCTGTGCTTTTTAAATGAGTGGCTACTGGCATGCATCTCTGCAGTTAATGTGTTTGAATTACTGTATGTGCACATGACTCCTGATGGTAGTGGACTGCGTATTGTTTTTGACAACTAAGTGATGCCGCTTGCCTTCCAGCAGAGGACTACAAGTAGCTCAAGGTGGTGAAACAGAGAAAAATGTCATTACTGTTTACACTCATACTAATTAAGCAGCACATTATAATATTATTCCGGCATACACCGCGGAAGGAGGCTTTTAATTAATGTTTAAATTAATTGGACTTTTTCATAAAAGACATGTCATAATACACGAAACACAGTGTAATTAATGATATTAACAAGGGCTGTATTCCATTCAGTGCTGCCAGTACCCTGGCATTGCACAGACTGGTATCCTCAAGCTTCTATCTTCATCCTGACTGGTTATGAGTTATTTAGTTTCAAAGTTTTCACATCTAAGATAAAAAAAACTAATACAAAAAACATCTCTTTTATTTGTTACGATAACCAGCACAGTGCAGTCACTATGTGATATATGCAATATTAAAATCATGTCATATTGTAACGTAGGCTAGCGTGAGGAAGGAGCCAGAGACAGAAGTTGCCCTCGTTCCCTTTTATTGCTCCCCTCTGACTTTGGTAACTGAACAAAAAACATCGAACGCAAAACATTCCGCGCCAACCCCAAACTAAATACATCCCACCCAGAGGGGCGTTCTGGGGAACCCCGCCACGTGTCTTTCTGTCCCCAATGCTACAGTATTTTTAATTAAAACATTTTTTTAATCCTCCAAATGCTGAGAATTCCTTTTTGTGTTTTTTTTTTTTTTTTTTTTTTTTTTTCACTAGAAAATACAAAGTTCTGTAGAGACAGGACAAAAATATAAGGGCCTTCTTGAAAAAGTGGTAGGTTTAGTATTACTTTCCTTTAGTAGACAAAATCAAAGCATCACTTGCTTCTTGCTGAAGTTCTGATAAAAGAGGACTTCACAGACAGATTTAAACTGATCGTAAAGTTTTTACTAATACTGCAGATCAAAAAGTTAAAAAATGAGTTTCTCCTTGATCGTCTCCTGGTGCTTTCTCTTTGTCTGACATGTGTTTTCTGTCTGCTTCTGCTTTTTAGAAAAGCTAGCAGCATGGTAGAGTTAATGTTTAGATACTAGCTGTAAAAAAATCAAATCATCATTTTTTTCAGATTTCCTCATATTAAAACTCCTCCTGTGTTTATTTCAAACACTGGAGCTTTGCAGATTCAACTATAAACAAACTTCTACAAAATGTTCCTGACCCATCAGATAACAGTTTTATGTGAGTAATCATTTTTGAGAATAATGTCAGACAGAACTTTATACTTCTAAGGCCACAACTGATTTTGCTAGTACAGTGGAACCTCGGTTTTTGTATGCCCTACTTTTTGTACGATTTGGTTTTCAATGACTTTTTTCGTCGAAATTTTGTTCCCAGTTTTCGTACATCCGCTTGGTTTTCATACAGTTGATTAGTCAGTTCAGCATCATTAGTCTGTGCCAAACTCGTCCACCTGCCCGCGTGACTTGGCCACTCATTTCCCAGAAGAAATGAGTGAAGGGAAGTAACCCCAGTTAGGGCCTTGATAGATGAAGTCCATATGGAGGGGGATTCCCCTTCCAAACAATAACCTCTCCACCTCCCTCTCCCCTCCTCGCCGTCTTCCATACGCCAAAAAGAGTCTTCAATAAAGGTAAAAGTGATGTTAAATGTTCATTTATCCATTTCATTAGTCATTTATATTAATTTCTCATTGTTTTCTGTATGTAAAAATATAGTTATTCTCTATAAAATGTATTTTTTGTTAATATTTTTGGGTATCTGGAATGGATTAATTGGATTTACATTATTTCTTATGGGAAATATTGCTTCAGTTTTTGTACATTAGGTTTTCGTCTGACTTTTTCGAACAGATTAATTACAAAAACCGAGGTTCCACTGTACTTCTACCACTTTAAACATCCTTATATCCCTCGACATCCTGTGGAAAGGAATAACCTAGGTAATTTACCACTGTTGCACTGGTGTTACCACCGTGTTGAGGCCATTAGTTTACACTGGCCCCTGATTTTAATTATCTCAACTTTGGGACACCCCGATGCTTGGGGTTACTTAAAGTAAATAAATAAATAAATCAATAAACTATCAAATCTTGTGTCATGAACTAAACATTGTACTTTGTTTTAGTTGGCTACTTCCTGTAGGGATTTTTGTGCACATTCTTGTAACTTTATCTTTGGCAGGTGCCCATCATTTGTACTGACGCTTCAGCTGGGAGCGGGTCATGCCTTTCCTTGGAAGTGCTCCAACAGCCCAGTCTCACATGAAAATGTAGAGTAGCTACATTGGTCCATAGTAGTGTCACAAAAATGGCAGTAAAAATGTGACATGGCAACATTTTTTCTATTGCAGCCCAGTGTCCTTCTTCGTGTTCTTCCTCTTGGTGTTTTATGGAGGATGGCAAACAACAAAATAGCGCATTACCAACAACCAACTGGACTGGGGTGTGGATCAAGAAGGTAACACTGAATGTCCTACAGTTTTGATCTACAGATAATTAAAAACCGTACTAAGGTGGTGGTTCGAATGGATGGATGGGTCCAACAAACACCTGACTTTCACATAGACAATGCGGTTAAAACACTCCTGCGAGTGTGTTTTAAATGTAACCACATATAAGTAATCTCAGACATCGTGTTTCATTTTTGCTGCCAGAAAGCTGTTGCCATGTCACAATTTTTGGTCCTGAAAAATGTTGCAATGTTACAATTTTCAATTTTCAGGTAGTATGTTTTCCTTTGCAGACCATTGTAGCTATTATATATTTTGATGTGAGAGTATTGGTTTATTTGCTGCTGTTAGACTTAACTGAAGTCATTCTGCTCTGACTTTACCTTCCCTCACCTTGCGGTAAAGTCTGCTCCAGCGGGTGAACAGGGCGTGCTTGCAGAGATGTGAAGGCGTCCCTGAATCGCGTCTCTGTCCCGTGGTGGTGTTAACCACCTCCACCTGTGCATCGCCAAGTGTCCAGTTGATGCTCACACATGAGGTCTTCCTTGGCTGGTGACACTCAGCACTGCTTAGCCCTACAGTGAAGACACAGTAGGAAGAAGGTGGGTTATCCTCAGCTGCAGTCAAAGAGTTCACCAACAGCTGAACTACCAACTATCAACTACCTTTAACAAACGAAACATTTGTGTGTTCAAATGTAATAGACTTGTGCATGAAATGTTTTTTTTAGTCCATCACTGTTTTGTTTAACCTTCCCTCACCCACTTCCTGAGGCTACTGGTTGACATAAAGTTTTGCATGGCTGTTTATATGAAGCTTTGATACACCCTCAGAGAGTGAGAGAGAGGGAGGGAGCACACAATAATTGTATTTCTGCTTGCCTGCTCTTGTGTCCGTGCAGTTAACAGTGTTTGAGTCTTGCCAGCTATGTACACTGCAATTATTATCTCCAGTCTCAAAGATCAACCCTTCCCTTTACTGGACTGTCTGTCTCCATGTCCTTCACTCTCTACCGTTGTTCTCTGAAATAATTAGCCTCACTAGCTAAGCACACAATGCGACTGGTGGAGGAAAGAGAAAGAGAGGTAGGAGGAAAGTGGAGGTGAGTGGCGGTCACATTGTGCTACATGTACAGTAGAGAATTAGCTGTCTGTGTGGAGAACATGGGTGTTGGCAGAGCTGCTGACAGCAGGGTGAGAAACAAATTAGGGTTCAGGGCAAAAATGTCCCCCGAGAGGTTACACTGGGTGTTTCATAGGAGCCAGTTCCCAGTATATTTTGAGTAAGTGAAATAGAGAAGTTTTGATCCAGTGTTTGAGGTTTTCAAAACACTTGACTATACAGCCTAAAGCAGGAGAAGATGTTGAACTATATACTGGTCAGCAACAGAGTAATGGAACAAGTGCAAGAGGTTTACAGCAGTGATAGACAGGCATTTATTTTGAATTTATATTTATTTTCACAGGGATATTGCATATTGATCAATTCCCATGTATGTACCAGTATTAGCGACAGGGCTCATTTTCAACTATTGTCCCAAACAATTAGCTACATGTAAAAGGTTGTAAAATGGTTGTTTTTTTTTATTAAAAATATGGAAAAAATGATTAGTTGCTATCCTGCAGAAAGTAAGATGTGAAAATTTATAGGTGTTTGATTTGGGCTGCGACCAAGGTTGTTTTTGTTTTTGCAGATTATGTTATGTTATGTTGTTTAATCAATCACTTTCATGTCTGTACAGTTAGTATAAAGTACATACAATTAGCTACACAATGTGTCTACACTGAAAGCATAGCGTGTGCAGTGCATGTGTCTTGCATGAACCTTGTGCTTGAGTAGCATTCGTTTCAAGCGGCAGCCTCCAAGGCAGAGAAATGAAGCCAATGATGTGTCAAAACCTGCAGTTCCTCAAACGGCCATTTGAGTCTAGCTCCAAAAAAGGAGTCAATCCCCAGGAACTCCCACAGTAAAAGTTTTGGTCTCTATATTTCCCCTTCCATTACAACTGTACAGAGGGCCAATATGTATATAACTTGCCTATTTAAATTATACCAAGATGGCAATAACCAGACTTGAGCTTCAAAACTGCTCTTCAAAAAAACCAATGGGTGACATCACATAGGGTTTGTCCAGCTTTCATTTACACTCAGTGGTCCATGGCTATACCGGGCACTTGTTCACTCATGCATTGGAAGCACTTGATGTACAAAGAGCACATAGGAGCCTAAAGGAACACCTTGGAAATGACTGAAACACAACACTTTTCTGTTTTGTGCGGAATTGGATCATGAATCTCAGGGCAAAACACAAGAACACAAACCAAAATACACAGTTCTTCCAAGATAACTATATGTTCTGTAGGGTTAATATAACAAGTGATAGATCATGTGTTTTAACTGTGTTTTCATGATGTATTTCTCTATTTTGTTGGTATTCTGGTCATTGTTTTGGTGGATTTCTGTGGAGCCTTTACTCAAGTAACCCTGAAAAAAAAAGACTTTAACTGTAAAAATATGCTTTAGGTTGCGGTGTCACATTTAAAGCCGGGGTGACACGCGAGCCAACCAATAGGTGGTGTGGACAGCTGGATTAAAATAGGAGTGTATCATTTCCGTGACACATACGTCTCAAAAACACGCCCAAACACACAAACTAACACAATAAATTATGTTTGTTCGATCTTTACAAAACCCAAAGTTTAAATTTAGTTAGTTTAAAAATAGTAGTAGTTTTACAGAAGTCCATGTGCCGGAATAACTGTGAGGTTGAGGGATAAGTAGAAGTTCCAGGAGCTCATTACTGAGCTTTAACCTCACTAACAACACTGACAATGTCAGGAAAATTCCTCATGTATAGTTTACCTGCAGCGCTAACCTTATAGTCAAGCATTTTAAATTGTGTACATTGTCTGTGGATAGTTGGAGCAACCTGTTAACAAGTACAACCAGATAAAAATGTATTCTGTATAACTCCCTTAGAATAAGTTGAATTGATTGTCTCAGTATTAATAGGCTACTGGAATTAATTTACATATAAATTTCAGTGATGGAGGCTATGCAGCCTTTTCCTCACTATTTGCGTTGGGATTTTTCCAGTTTTTTTTAAGCGTGAGATATTATTGTTTCCATGTAAATGTGGCAGAAATTTTAAGAAAATGCATGTTTCCATCCACTGCTCTTGTTTTTCAAGTGCCGTAAAGCAGAAGAAGAATCCAGTTTAATAGCAAGCAGTTTAAAAAAACAAAGGTTGATAACAGAATAGCATTTCTATTGGTTTCATGTTTTTATTTGAGGAATGTTACAGTCTCGTCAGTGCTCCACACAGCTGTGTTTTCGTCTGCTGCTATTTTTAGTCTCTTCAGTGAACAAAGTCACACACTTCATGTTTGCCATAAGCAATTCCGTAAGTCTGTTTGCACTTTTGTCACATCTTGCTTTTACTGATTTAACACCTTCTCTACCTCATACAGCAGCCTAACAACTTTTTTTTGCAGTATTATCAAATTTGTTCAGATTTACAATGTTTCTACTCCAGTTTTTATGTAAAAACAGAGCCAGGCTAGCTGTTTCACCCTGTTTTCCCATCCTTGTGCTGACCTAAGTTAAGCTGGGTTTACTGTATACTTAGCACAACACAGTCATGGTGGTCGAGCTGATCTCCCCAATGCTTAATAGAATAAGTGTTGAATAAGTCTGTTTGCCTGGGTAACTAGCAGATGGTCTCTGTGTGCAACTCTTAATATTATAAGGTGTTGTTCACTATGAATTCCAATACAAAATGTTGGGCTGTTTTGACACAGATGTTTTTACTATTTACTTAGAAATGTCAGGTGCAATGTGTGCCATACTGGCAGAGACAGAGCTGCTTCTCATGTAACATCTAGGTTAAGCAAATCTGACAGTTCAGTGGTGCTTAAACATTATATCTACTCTAAATCTGTAAAACTGTCTTCACAAAGGAATCACTGTCTGGGATTTCACCTTGACTTCTAACCCAGCTGTTTTTTTATATCATGCAGTGTTAAAGGTACCTTCACAGAAATTCAGCCGACAGGTTATGACAGGTGAACAACAGTTGCCTCTGATCTCGCCGTCTGACAGACAGCTTGTTATAGTACAATACCACAATACATGCTTGCAGATCCTCTCCCCCTCTTGCCCCATTCATTTTCCACCCTTCCATTCACCAGCCTCAGCTCTTCTTTTCTGGAGCTCCTTGGAGCTGGAATGAATTGCCTGCCACAGTAACAATCCTCCAAGTCTCTTATTACCCATCTCTTCTCTCTTGTGCAGATGCACTTCTTTGAACAAAAGACCCTCCAATCCATCCTGCCTTTTTCCTTTCCCCCCACTCCATTCATGGCTCATTTCATCCTTTCAATGGACTTGACTCCTCTGTTTCTGTAATAGCCAATTTGATTTTTCCCTCATTGAAGACTTGATCAATTTCTCTTCTGGGAAATGTCTGGCAGACATGAAAGAGGCAGAATTAGAACCTTTGGTTATGGGATTCATAACTATACAGTACACACACCCCAGGTATAATATTTGAGGCTGTTGTAGAGCTACAGTACAGACTGCCTTTCAGGATAAAATCAGAATTCTCAGTCGCAACACAATCTCAAGACACATACATGCACTGTGCAATAGTTCAGTTGTACATTATGACACCAGACAGGATGACACTCTCTGACCACAGATCATGCTCAGTGCGTTGCAAGTTTAAACAAATTATATTTAAGGTTCTATTTGTTTATTTTCAGTCCTAAAGTTTTTCCGCATGGCAGACATTTGTCTCTTAATTCTGTAAATTGTGGGTAATGTCTGTGTACAGCCTCTAAAGGAAGCTGTTGTTAAAAGAGCAGCTTTGCTGCACTGGACAAAACACACGTGCATGAACAGTAGAGTATAATGAAATAAGGGTCCTCATTTGATCAGCCGATATCAGTCCATTAAAATATGTCTGGATCAAACAGCTCTACTTAGCGGTGAGCACTGTAATTTGCCACTGTAACAACATTAAAATTTACCCTTGAACTCTCAGTAGAGTTCAAGTCAAATCTTTACTGACGTTCAGCTCCAGCTTCACATTTGATGCAGACACTACACAAAAAATATAAACACACCAAAAAATCTCAACTGGGAAAATGTGAACTGTTAATATGTAACATGTGAATAAAACAGGGCTTAGATGTAAAACAATAATCTATACAAGTGCAAGTGGAGAGCGACCATTAGTAATTTAATAATTTGGGGCTCTGAAGATTTATGACAGTATGACCTGACACCCCCCTCCTTGGGGCCAAATAATGGGTAAACATCATTTAACCCATATACTAAGCTTCCATATGAATGCTCTCCCATTCTTTGGCACATTTAATTGTGTATTATTGACTGCTATCTACTGTTGTTCTGGTTTCTCTTGTCCCCACATGACAAAGCCTGGCCACAGTTTCTGTTCATGCTGCACTGAAAGTGGACAGCAGGGCAAGAGTGAAGGACAAGTCAGTCCATCGATGTGTTTGACCCTCAGGGTTCAGGTGGCCGTATGCGATAAGAGCACGCCATGAGATCTTCAGGAATTTCCTCTAGGGGTGTTGCTTTTAAATAACCCTGGAAACACAATAGCTAGCGGAGTTCATCAGAACCAATGAAAGGACAAGGAGGAGGAAATGTGAGGAATGTGGGGAGTGATATGCCCACAGACATCTGAATGCAAGTGAAGCTCTCTTTTTCTTTACACCCCTGCTGCCTTGCTGTCTCTGTCCCACTGTCCAAGCTCCCTTTAGATTGAATGGCTGTTCGATGAGAGCTGCGATTACATTGATTTGGTGTAGGACCATCTCAACTGTCTGTCCATCTCCCTACCTCTCCTCCCCTCCCTTCACCTTTCTACACTTGCTTCTCAAGGTACTGCAGGTAGGAACTGAAAACATCTGACAGTTTGGGACACACACTCAGAAAACACATAATCAATGTGGAGCATGTTAGAGGGGAGAACACTTTCAGGAGACAAGAGGCCACCTATATAGTCATTAAACAAACTGTGTACTTACTGAGTTTACTATAGTATAGTTACTGTGAATAACTTAATGTTACATATGAATATTGAAAACACTGGTCGTATATTAGCAAGAATATGTATTATCTAAAACCCAAACCCCCCACATTCATCCCAGCTATCATCATCAGATGACGATAGTGTACAACTATTGATCTTGATGAGGATAGGCCTCACAAATTATTAATCCTCATGGCACCCAGTTACCTGAAACACTGCAACACTTCTACACACTTCTAAACTCCAGAGTCTAAACTCCAGGTGAAAGCTCATGTAGGTGTGTCCAACAACATAGTGGGCGCCGCCAGCTGCAACATGAAACAGAGGGTGAATCCATTATAGAAGGAGGAATGCATTATGAGTAGGTGGAGTCAGGGCTGGCTTTAGTAATGGCCAATCAAACCTATTCCCCTCATCCCCTTTAAAAGCACAGCCACAAACCTGACTTGGACGGATGTCAGTAATTTCATGATGACTGATGTGGACAGACTCCATCAGGAAAGTGATATACTGTCTGTGAGGTGCAGTCGCTGTGACTGACAACATGGAACTATATGAGATGCTGCAACGAATAATTATTTTCCTGTATCTTTTTCTCCTACCAATTACGTACTTCATTTCTAAATAGTGGTGAAAAAAATATTTACTGTAGAAGCATTGAACCCAAATGATCACTTAGTAGTCTGCCAATATGACTTACCAGCTTTTGTGCACGGAAGAAAAAAAGACTGTCCTGTAACGAGCAGCAATTATATAGCGCAATTTACTCACAGCTGCATCCTATAAGGACAGATGGTGCATTATGATGCACGCCAGCCTTGTTTGACAATATTCATATCTATAGCCACATTCTGAGAACTAGCTAATTATTTATAAACAGTCTTTCTAAATTGTCACATGTTTCATAATTCAGATCATTTCACAATAAATTATTCACAGTGAATTCTGGCAGATCAGTTATGGATTTTGGGATTAATTATAAGTCGGTGTGGCTGTTAAAATACATTTTGGTATCTGTTATTGTGCTCCCCAGCCTAGGCTGCTGTCTGGAAAATTGCAATGCACCTGTGTTTGTGATAAAAGGTGATCTAAGCAGGTTTTAATGCAAACTCAATTTCAGGTCAAAATGAGCAGCAACGCTGCACTGTGCTGCCTAATCAGTGTAAACACAGCCTCAACTGCACCTCTCCTCCCACTTCAGTGTAAGCACATTCATTCATAGCAGGAAAACGCCAAACACACCAATGCACAAAAAACAAAGAAAAAAGAATTGCACCCAAGAACACTTCATAAAGACTGAATCTGTGCTGGCTGGCTTTGCACTGGCAGGAAAATAAAGTACAATGTTTTTTCTTTTACTGAATTCCACTGTCTTTGTTCTTATCAATAATTCCCATCAACACAATGTGCCCTACATGGCTGTGTGTCTCTGTCACTGAGCCTCTCTGACTGGCCTAGATCTGAAGTGATGGCTGATGTAGTTTCTGCAAGTTGGGTGTCATTCAGATCCTCTTCTATCTCCACTACAAACGCCTCAGGTCTCAGGGGAGCCTTGGAAGCAGACATGCCAGACAACTTCTTAGTTGTTGCTTGTCTGGCTGGCATAATGTAACTATAAAGAAGCAGGGGTACACAAGTGTGTTAAGCACATGTGTATATATGTGACACATGTGATCTGGAGTGATTCATTTGGTCTGGAGCTGACATATTTATTACTGGGAAAAGAATCCCTGAAAACAGATACTGTATAAATCCGTTGAAAACTGCAGTATTTTAAAAATATCAAAATGAGGAAAGAAATAAAATCACTCATCAAATTCAATACTATATCTCTTTTAAATAATGCTAATGTCCTAAAACCATTTGAAAATCTTTATTGTTCTGATCTTTGAAGAAACAGAGCAACCTAAAAACTCATCCACAATAGACCAAATCTAATTATCTGCTGCACAACTTTCAGGTTTTCACCAAGAGTCCAGTGCACCACTGCATTTTGCAAGGCATGGGGGTATTATTGTTGCAGTTCAATAGGTAAATGTGTGTGGCGTTCTGAAACTGTACCTCAGTCTTGATCTGTGTACTCAGATTTGTACTTGGGAGCAATCATCTGTAGTCTGATTTGTGAATATAGAAAGGAATATAAATGTGTATTCAAATTTGCAAGTTTACAGAAATTTGTGAATATGCAAAACAAACTGTAAACATGTACACAAATCTGTAAATGTGTGGACAAACATTTACAAATCTATGATGGATATATGCATGAAATAATCTGAAAATATATGCACTCAAAAAACTGAATAGAAATGCCCACTTATCAAAAGTGAAAGCTTTAAGACATATACATATATTCCTTAATTTCCACCTCAAGGATCTTTTAATTTCCTTTCTTGTTTTAGAAATCTACAGATGTCTGGGGTGATCTTCCAGCAACTCAGAGTTTTGTTTGCCTTGAGCTCAGTCAAGCTTACAGCACACTGCAAGGCTATGTAATGGTAATTACACCAATGTTCATTTTGTGAAATAACAAGAAGGTTTTTTGACATAACAACAGCCGTGCAGAATCTGATTATCATTATTTTTGAACCAGTCATTTGTTTGAATTCCATATAGAATCGGATCAGGTCAAAATAAACCTGACAAGCTCATTAAATTTCTGAGCAACACTCTGCTCAGAAGTGAAGATGAGCCTTAAACAGCCTTTACATTCAGCTTTTGATTGAATGTATTTGCTTTTTTTTTTTTACACATGCACAAATCTTCTTCACTTTTACAAATTTCTGTACACATTTAAAAATCTGTTCATATTTACACGTCTCAGTTCATGTTTACTGATTTGTGTGAATATTTACAAATCACAAAAAATTTTTACATTCAGAAATTTCAGTACTTGTAAATCTGAATGCACATTTTCAAACGTCTTTACACATTCACAAATCAGAGTACAGACTGAGACACAGGTTGATAACACCCTACGCATGTGCAAATAATATTGCAGCAACAATAATCTTATACAAGGCCTCGTGAATTCTTTTCACTGTGCTACTCTTCTTTCCTAAGTTGATATATTCCTAAATGTATTTGATCTAAATTCCACATAAACATGTCGCACTGTCTGTGTCATAGTCGTACCGCTGAGCAAGGGCTGGTTGCGTCTGTATGTGGTTGGCAGTGGACCCAGGTGCTCCTGACGCTTGTTCAGAACTCGGCCCAGATGACCTGTGTGGCGCAGGCTGCCAACGGTCACACTGTGCAGGTACACTGGCTCCACAAAGTGGCTCAGCAACGCCCCCTGCAGGCCCAGGATGTTCCATCTGAGGGGAGGTAATGGAGGAAGGAAAGAGAAAGAGAAGAAGCCAGAGAAAAGGCAATATGATGGTTTGAAAAGTGGATTTGGAGATAAGGGTGAGAAAGGAGGGAGAAGACAGCAAAAATGGCATAAATGGCATTTATAGGAATGTTGGTGAGGGAGAGAAAGGAGGAGGAGTGGTGTGGATGAAAAAAGAAGAAAAGGAGGAAGGAGGGCAACATTCGGGGGAGGGAGAATAGGCAGGGAGAAAGAGATGGGTAGAGACAGGAAGGAATAAAAAGAGAGAGACAGACGTGAGAGCTTCACTGACAGGTAGAGACAATTTGATCATTATCTTGATGTGGGACGTGATGATAACAGCCACTGGACTGACAACACACACATTATCTAACATACACACGACTTCTTCTCCCACTTTCTCTGGTTCAGAGACAAAAGCCATCATCACCTCCACCAACAACAACACAGCCAAAGGTCAGCACACCAGTATTCATTACATGGAACAACATATTACCGTGTGTGCATTCATCAGTGCTGCTGAGGTTAATGCACTGCATGGGGCTGCAGGAAAGCCTGTGCTGATTGTTCAGTACAAGGGGCGATCACCTCAGGGTTTATGTAATCACTGTGGGGGTAATGCTGCTGGCCGCACTGATGCCTTACACCGTAGCCAGCTGGTCACGCCCCAGCTACTATTGAAATACCCTTTATTTAACCAGTGGATGTTAATTTATGGATGGAAAATGCTAATTACTGTGTATAGTTTTGTTTTCTGGTTTTTACTTGTGCTTCTGGTTTTATTCTGTTTTTATATCGGTGTGCACATCAGGGGCCATTTTGCTGGAGTCAAATTCCTTGTATTTTTGACAATACTTGGCAATAAAGTTTATGCTTATGTTTATTACTGTGTTCATGGAGAGCGAGAGATGCTGATGTGTACCTGAGCCGTGCAGTCTCTGGTGCACTGGACTAATGAAGCTATTTAGGACTCAATCAAGAGTCCTGACATTATGGTACAAATTTTTACATCATTGTTCTTTTTGTTAATCAGTCTTTATATCACAGATGCAATTACAGTGGCTGCTTGTTTTTTTCTTCTTCTTGCCGACTTAATAATTACTCATTATGGTTCCTTTCACCTCTTGAGCAGTCAATTAACATCAATGGCTTTCTGGGAATGAAAAAACGGCCCTGAAAAGCAGCCCGTCTATACTTCACCTGCAATCTGTCAGTAAGATCTGTCCATTCCTTTGAGCTTCGTTCAAAAAGTACACACACTCGCATTCACACACAACCTCAGTGCTTCACCAAAACAGAAAGAGTTTAGCTTGAAATATTAATTTACCCACAAAGCAACACCATGAATCAGAAACATCTTCTAATCTCATGCAAGAAAAAACAGCCATCTGGCTTGATTGTACGAATTTAAAGAGGGGGAGAAGGGAAAAACCGCTTCTCTCTCTCCTGTTCTGTCTCTCTACAGCTATCCTTCCCCCCCTCCTCTGGTAAACGCTGATCATTAAAGTAATGTGTTCATCTGCATAAAACTGCGGTGGGATGGAGAAGATCATCATTATATGAAAGCCATTTAGGTCCCTCAATTAAATCCAGTTGTCGAATTCAAATCAAATATTAGCGAAGGAGCTTCACGAGGAATGGCTGAAGAAAACAAAATGATGCTCATCGGATTATGGTACATTGACTATTATCAGAAATATTTACATCCTAAAATCCCCCAAAGCTGAACTAACCATAATAAAGTGCAGGAACTGAAGGAAGAGGGGAAAGGTAAAAAGTAATGGGAGGTTGCAAAATGAGTGTGACAGAGGACAAAAAGAGCATCCAAGGGATCACTTTAAGATTACAGCAGTGTGGTTGTGTTGAGTCCTAAGCTCCTCTCAGTTCCACCCTCCACCCTGACCTTGATAAACTGGCCCTTGGTGACCCACTCATTTTAACGACGGCCACCGATCATTTACTACGACATAAAAAAAAGCAGAGGCTGTGGTGCAAAGAGAGCGTGTCTGCCGTCTGGCCTAGCTGGAGTGGACAGGAGAGAATGGTGGGAGGGAAGAAAAGCAGGGTGTCCCTTCTCCCTCCCCCGTCACTCTATTTTTTTGTAAAGTAATTGCTTTCACCCCCGTTGGTGACCTGGGTAGATTTAATCACACCGTCTCCAGCCCTGGCCAACTGAATCAAATTGGTCAAATTAACAGCAGCTCCATAGGAGAAAGGTTCACCTCTCTCTCTTAGTGTGTGTGTGGGGGTGCTTGCCAATTCTTTCACACACAAAACAGTGGCTCAGCTGTGGTCCTGTATGGCTGAGTTGGCACACTATGATGCTAACCAAGTTGAATTCACTGACTCACTTCCTGACAAGGCCCAGTCATGGATGAAAACTTAAAACTATTTTAAAAAGTGATTATAAAGTTGTAAGAAGACAGAAACAAAAGTAAAGAATTACTATTACTGTGTATTAGACTATTTCATTATTTTGACTGTTTTGTTGCTACATCCTGGGATGACCAGTAGCTCAAGGAAGCTAATGATAGAAAACCGTAGATATATATTGCTGTTTAACTGATATTAGATTTTGCTTTTATTTATATTTGTGGCCACAATATAATTAATTGTAAAGCTTTTTTCTGGTTCTGAATAACGCCACCATAGCTCCCTGAGGATTCAGACCTGATCCAAAATGAACCTTTGGAAAAGCCACATAAACTAATTCTGAAAAAAGAGCAATCCAAACGGCACCTAAACACAACCAGGCCCAAACCAGAGAGCCCTGATGATGATTATGCCTGATCCAAATGGCCTTAACAAACATCAACAGAATAAGAACTTAGACACCAGTAGTAACAATCAACTTACTCAATCATTTAACAAGCAGCCACAGTGGAAAAAAGAGACAATACACTACTATCAGTAATGTCCAATAAGAATGAATATAAACTCAAAGGGACTAAAATAAATGTTTTTATGCTTCAGAGTCAAATAAAACAAGAAAGGTATCACCCATATTAAAGTATAAAATAAAACTAGACAAAGAATAATGATAATAGTTTATAACACAGCCAGGCTGGGTAAACAGAAGAAGGAAGTTGCTGAAATGCCTTTGATGATGGCCAGAAAATATATATGTTATCTGCATAAAACAAATAGTCATATCATCTACATAGAAGCTGAACAGTGCAGACGACCAGCTACGTTACTACTTTATATTATTTACAGACAAAATCAGAGCACACATGACCGGTAGGGCACGTTTCCTTTAAGATAAAACTCATTCCCAATGTTCCTACCATTTGCATGTTGAAATTATTTAGTTTTTACTAGCATGAGTAGGTTTTATGTGTTGTGGTTTGATCAGTTTTATTATTGCCTGGTTTTATGGATTGCTGTAATTGCATGATTTTATGGACATTATTGTTGTTGCATTTTGGACTAAGGATCATAGTGATTGGAAACAGCTGTGACTGATTAAATAACCCCCCCAGGAACCAGGCAGGAACCAGAGAGCAGAAAGGAGTGTGACTACATTGGCAGTTTATAGACGCCAGTAATGCATGGGAATAAACCAGAGAGAGTCTGTGGATGGAACATGAAGCGTTGGTGGGGCTGAAACACAAGGCGAGCCACACAGGGATAGGGGAAATGACCATGCTGCCTGGGGTTGTAGTGACAGAAAGGCTTAATTTAGGCTTGAAGCAGCTGCAGCAATCCATCTGAGGGGGAGAGGGATTATGTGCATCTGAGAAGAGGATCTGGGCTTGAGTCGGTGAGGATTACGCCATGAGACTGAACCTGGAACCTTAGACAACAGCTACAAAGATTCCCATCTTGCACAGCTGGGTTTGAGTTCTTCTGAACCGAGTGGACCCATGAAGACCTCTAGTCCCTTCAGAAGCTGATGTTCTATTACTAGACAAGGAAGAAGTAGCCTCTTCTGGCACAGTGTGTGAATTATACTGTATAAATATACAAACATAACCATCACTTATCATTTCTAATAGTGTGCCTAACCATTTCAAATTTAGAACATCTAATGTAGTTACAAATGAATGTCACTTTCGGCTTTTTCTCGTTAGGGGTCGCCACAGTGGATCGTCACACTGACATTTGGCACGTGTTTTACGCCGGATGCCTTTCCTGACACAACCCTGACTCGAACCCTAACCGCTAGTCTGTCAGGGAAGACACATGATTAAATATCCAGCAAGTAAATATAAGATGATTATTAATTATGTCTGTGTGTATGCATGTGTAGAGGATACTTTGATGTGTACACATCTATGCCTTTACTTTTCACACATAAAGACAGTGTGAAAACAGATGGAAGAGCAAAGCTGTCCTGACTTCACTGGCTTGCCAACATGTGATAATACATTAACAATTTAAAAACATTTTGTGTAAGATAAAAATATTACCAGTAGTTTCCATTCAACTCCAAATCTTTTTTTTTTTAAAGTCAAATCATAAAATATTCAACTCCAAATCAAATCCAAGTCAAATCATATATTACAGTTTGCCAGTGCAGGGGGGTTAATAATTTTTAATCCAAATGATTGTTTAAATAAAGTTGGTTTTACATTATACTAACACAGGATTGCTAGAAAAATCATAGACACATTTTAACATTTCATGCACATTTTTGGGTCGTCTAAATTAGCAGTGTAGAGACCTTATCTCCCTTACATTTTGACATGTACCTGCTTAACACCAAATAAATATACCGCAGTAGGTAAAGGGCTGCAGAGTCGACTACACGGACAGAGAGATTTAAAGATTGACATGAGTCATACACTAATTCATTAGAGGGGGATTAGCTGTTCAAGTCACATATGGGAATTCAGTAGTCACCGCTAAGACTACAAAAGATTTCACATAAAGCATGACTCATGGAAACACACACAGGCACCCCCACACACAGATGCGCTAAGGTAAATATCATATATACCTCTGCTTGGCTCACAGAGTACTTTTTAAAATGCTTTATTTAAAGAGAGATCACTCCTTCTCATAAGAAAGTTAATCTCCTAATAAAGTTAAGCCTTTTATCAATCCTTTAACCTTTCTTAAAGGGATTCCTACACTGCTCCTACCAGTAATTAATGGCGGAAATGGGTCCACTCTTAGCATACTTGACATGGTTGAGGCTCTTAATCATTTTATCTCATCATGTGACATGCTTGTCAAAGGCAACACTCCACTATCACAATAGGCCTCACCTCATATATAACAGCAAATTGTCACATAGACCTGTTACATATGCAGCGGTATTTGCATTGATAAACTTAAACATAAGTGTCTTGGTGAGGACAACTTTGAGCTATGGATCCTTTCCTCTCAGTGCACCTATTATTACTGCACCACATTTTAAAGTCAACTATTATCTCAGGTAATATCCCCTCAATATGGAAGGCTGCTCAGGTGCTTCATAAAGGTGGTGACACTCGACCTATATCCAAGCTGTCCTGTTTGTTCAAAATGCTAGAATCACTACTAAACTCAGAACTACGTGACTTCTTGGAGGATAATAATGCCCTTCAGCATTAGGCCTTAGACCTGCTCATAACACAATAACCTCTTCAGCTGCTGTTATGGATGACACAGTTAACTCATTTAAAAAAAACAACACGGTGCTACACTCCTTCTACAGTATATCTGTCAAAGGTTTTTGATGCCGCTGATCACAACATTTTGTTAAATAAGCTGCTTTCTGTGGGTTTTGATGTTTGTGCATGTGATGGGTTCAAATCATATCTCTCTGACAGGACTCAGAACAGTTACTGTAGATGGCCTCAAATCAAAGCACCAGATGGTTGATAAAGGTGCTCCACAAGGATCAGTATTAGCCCCACAACTTTTTACTCTGTACATAAATTATATTTATTTTCCAAATCAGGACTATAATGCACTTTTTTATACTGATGATACTATCCTGTATGCCACCACCTCAACTGCAATCCAGGCCTCTCAATCAGGTTTCCTCACTAAATAAAGACAAACTCATTCTTTTCTTGAGGTCAGAGACCTCATGTTGATCACTTGTTTTGTGAGGAGTTTATATTAATATATGGGGTATCTTGAAGCCACCTTTCCAATAAAATTAACACAATCCATTAAATGCAAATAGCAAAGCTAAGCAGGCGTGAGACTGGAGATTAATAACCTATATTAATAGGCTTTATCATTGGTGTTGAACTTTCCAACTGAGATCACTGGCAAAAAGAAGAAAAATTAAACTATAAACCCAAAAAGTAAGACAATGTTAAACCCAGATGCAACATCTGATAGCACTGACCTGGTGATTTTGTCGGTGCAGGACATGGTGATGAGCTGCTCGCCCTGTAAAACACCATCCCAGGTCTGAACAGGCCCCCGGCATCGTACTGGCACTGTCCCCTCGCCTGACTCAATTTTGCTTCGCAAGTGGTTGCGATGCTTTCTCATTAGGCGTCTGCTGCTGTGTACTGAAAAAAAAACCCAACCCAATCACAACCCGTGGTTTACATCATTCCCTAACACACCATTGCCTGATTTCCAGTTTAATTAGCCAATAATCAAGTGTGTTATTTCTAAATAGTACAAAGCTGTTTCAGATCTAATCATGTCAATCAGCAGTCAAAAGTCATACAGCATATTTCTGATTAACTGTACTTGAAATACACAGCCTCAGAAAGAACAGAAAGAACATTATTCAATTACTGATTGTAATATATTTGAAAAACAAAATCTCCTTAAGTGTTCTCTGCATAATTAGAGATGTTCTCATCTACTAATTATTGGTGTTCATATTTAACATTTTATAACACTTTGCTGGATTATTATTTGTACAGTGAAAGACCATATTCATTCACATGGAATCAAGGCAGCATCCATTAATCCATTAAGACAAACATCTCAGTTCCTTTCAAAGAAAACATTTTAATGAGGTTAACTGGTTCTTTTAGGGGATTAAACGTATTGTTTATTAATGAAGCAAGCATATTTCTGGACTGTCGCTGGATGCAAGGAGCAGTCTGCAGTTTGTGGGGGTGTGGGGTCTGTGTGTGGCATGATCAGAAGGTTTGGGCTGTATGTGTTTGTTATACATCACACTGTCTGCTTGTGGTTTCCTGTGTGTACGTGGCAGCATTACTCTACTGAAAATGAAGGAAACATTCAAAAAGAAGCTGAATTACAGATGCTGCTTTTCTTGTTTTCTGTGCAATGGTGACTAAGTGCAGATAATCACTGTTTGTTTGTTAATAACCTCTCATTAATTTTGGCCCTAAGATCTCCTTTCCTTTCTCTTCCTTTCCTTCTCTTCCTCTACGGTTGTTGCTTTAACTGGTCTGAGAGCAGCTAAAAATTAAGCCCCGGCTTCCAATTCTGAAATGTTTAAGAACAGTCAGGAAAGGTACTTTTCTAATCCCACTGCACTGCAGAACATTTAAAAGATTAAAGGACCAAAAACGTAAAGTTCAAAGGCTTCTCCAATGACAGCATAATTTCTTCACCCCCTCTCTTTTCAGTCCTGCTGGTTGCACCTATCCAAGTACTGCACTGTATCTATGTACTGTCTTTTCATCCCTGCTGGTTGCATCTAACCAAGTACTGCACTGTATCTATGTACTGTATGCATGTGTATTCACAGAGCTGAATAGCAGCTCCAGTTTGTGATGAAAGGATGGGGAAATATATACATTCTACTGATGGAAACTGCAGTCCAGATTACATTTCTGAATGTATAGGTCAGGAAAATCCTGGGCAAACCATCTCAAAAAGAATATGCAATTTATTTTCTGTGGCTAAGAAATACAATGTCATCTAGTCAGCACAGTGTGGCTGAAAGACGCCAAAGATGGAGGGATGCCAGCTCCTTGACAGTGTCTGGAGTGAAAAAAATAAATCAGCAGAGCACTGGCTGTCAGAATATCTGCCAGGGGAAATTATCTCTCTATAAACTGACTGTATGTGAGGTGATAGAGGAAATAATAGTATTTACATTCAATAGAAGTGTATTGTGTGTCTTTTAAAATAGCTTTATTTTTATATTTTCAGTGGTATTAAGCTATATAAAACAAAGGCAGCAGAAGGGCCTGGTGTCTTACAGTCAGTGGTGATTTCATAGGGCGAGTTGAGTCTCCCATCACCACATGGTGAGGTGGTGATGTACATGTGGAAACGGACGTTTTCTCTCAATGTGTAGCCACACTGCTTGTGCTGCACGAATACTGACTCCTCCCAGTCCTCTGGCCTTTTACTTTGGTAATTGGAAAAAAAAACAGGAATGAGAGAGACTGATGAGAAAAGCAGCACCATTCATCACAGTATAGGGAATAGATTTTCACTTTTCTTTTCTAATGATGAAGTGAGGCAGAGACAGAGATGGACACCAACCCTCTCTCTGACCACAGCTCATTCTCCTGCTGTCAGACAGACTCCTGGACATTACTCAGCCTGTACACATGTGTCAGGGGAAACAGGAAGGAATTTAACCTACAGGTCTATACTTTAATGACTAAAGAGTCACCATAGAAGTTAAAATAATGTTTAAATATTAAATAAAGATCAGAAAAATGACATGTAAACTTGTGTTAACTTCATTAAATTGTGCTGAAATATATTAATCCATGATCAGAACTGACATCATTAGACAATAACTGTGACTCAGACCTGCTTTTAGGTACAGCAGGCTGCTGAGTGAACTTCTGAGCCACTACATGTTAAAGACTGTTTTTGCAACATTTTGCAGGTAAACACACTTCACTATTTAATGTTGAATTATTGCTGAAATCAGCAAGTATCTATATTGATCTTCCTGCTACAGCAGATTCAGATTGACATAGTCTATGAATATTACAGAAGATATTATAATAATACTAAAATGAATTATAGTAAACCAGCTCTGTTAAACTACTGTTACTTGCTGCTACAGAAACAGATCAGTGATCAAATATGTGAAAAATTGCAAAGCAGAACATTCACTTTCTTTTCTGTCTAAACACACCACGATACTAGCAAATAATTGCTATTTGTGCTTTTGCTGTAAAAGAGAAGACAAGAATAATTAAAAATACTATAACTCAGTACAGAAGATTAGTTTGCTGGAATGTGATAAAATAATAAGTTCCTGTCACAACTGAATCAAAACCATTACATTTACATCTATTAACAATGAACTGAATACTCACAAAATGGTCAACACATAATTTAAAAAATCTACAAAACTGTTATTGTTTCTGCTTGTGAAGAAACAAGGCTTTCATTTACACACACACTGTAAGTACATGTAACTACACACACATAAATGTATATGTATATATAAAATAAAACACAATAAAACACACAAACACACACAAACTATGCATCGCAATGCAAAGCACAACTGAACTCATAGTATAACCTCTCCTCTGTCACCGATGTCCTTTCACTGAGTGTAAATATGGCACTTCTGGCATTTTGTTTGGTCATTTCATTATAAGTTATCTTCCTCATTAGCCATTTTATTCAGCTGCAAAGTCTCCCTACCTGCCACCCAGCATTGTGCTAAGACAAAAAGTCAGTTTTGTGTATGCTAATATGACATTCAACAATCTACTCTTCGAGCCACTAATCTGATGAATCAGCCTTGGTATTGAGTTCCTTGGGGGAGCTCAAAAACATAATATATGCCTCTGCACTGGAGGCAGTTTGGAGTCAACACTCATCAAGACTGTCTCCTGATACTGGTAAGAATGTTGGGGAGTGTTTGTGTGCACCAGAGCACCAAAGGTTGCAAAGGCACACAAAGTAAATACACTTTAAAAAGGTACTCTAAACAAATAGGCCACTGAGACCCTGAGCTGAACCAGTTGAGTGTGTGCTAGTATGCTTAGTTAGCTGGAGAGAATAGTGCACATATGGCTTGTTGATTACTGAAAAGTCTCTGGTGAACTAAGCAGTGCTGTTTCCATGAAGCTTATTATAGAGGAGAGGGCTTTTTTTGCAGTGAAGTGGGGGTGTCACAACAAACACGATTTTTAATGCTATTAAGCATACTGTTAGTCATAATGTGCTGTAGTGTAATGCATGTTAAAGTTGCTGGAGGCACCTTGGGAACTAAAGCCTATAAAGTCTGTGCAGCATATTGGCAACAGTTTAACTTTGATATGCATTCACTGAATGTAACTGCTGCAAGTGCATTTTGTATTTTAAGCAGTATACCTTATAGTTACTATTAATGAACCATGTACTTTACTTTCATTTCTCTGCTACTTTATACTTATAGATGTATACTGTACAATATGTTTACTTAGAGAGATGGACAAATTACAATCTTTTCTCCATTATATTTATCAGAAAACAATAGGTACTGGTTACTACTGATTAAGATTTTACTCGCAAAACATGATCATCAGATACAATCAGATTAATTGCTATATATTAAAACATGGAAATGCTGTATATATGTTTATGCACCTGTAATAATAATCCATTTCTATAATACAAAATAATATAACATATGAAAGATACAATTCTGATGCATCATACTGTATGTGTAAAACATATACATGCAACATTTGCATGTATAGAGGGGAGCTGTTAACAAATTTAGCTATGCCTACTCAGTAATGTCTTTTGCTACTGGTTATACTGGACAAGTATGAAAAACCCGAGTGTACTGAATTGAGCAAGAGTGTGTTTTATTGTCAATAATAATGTTGATTTTTAATCTGTACCAGGAATAATCTCTGAATTTTTTTTTCCTTTAAACATTAAGTAGTTTTGCTTTAAGTACATTTTTCTCATAATACTTATGTCTGTAAAATTTTTTATATAAGACATGTAATACTTTGTGAGTTAATTTTACCAAAGCATAAGATGTAAACACTATTTCTAATTAGTCATAATAGCAGCACAGTTTTCCTGTTCAGTGCATATGAAGCAACTGATTTCCAATAAAAAGTCTTCTTGACTAATTTCACATGATTAGGAATGTAAATATCACATGGACTTTAAAGTTCTAGCAGAATATAGTGCTATTACCTTAAAAATAATTCAAGCTGAGAGTAGAAGAAGCGTAGCAGGGCTCTGCGGACCACCACTTCAGCATGACAGTCATTGACCACCTGTCCCTGGTCACTCAGATACTCCCCATTGATACATTTGGTGCCCGTAGATAATGCCACCACCTGGGCATGCTTCAGGTCCAGCCCTGTTGAACAAATACACACAGAGAAATTCGCTCTATAGTGCTTGTTACATATGTTACACTGGCTACATTGGTTCTTTAATCCATGATCTTAAAACCAGTTTGATACCTAGAGCTTGTTTTTCCTCGCCTTGCTGTCTGTGGGAAATATTTTGTTATCATTATAAAAGGAGCCCAAGAACACACCAAACATCAGAATCAGAATCTGCTTTATTGGCCAGGTGTGTTGGACACACGAGGAATTTGACTCTGGTACATCGGCTCTCAATGTCCATGTACATATCCCAAAATAAGCAGTATTAACAATAGCTATTTAGCCTGTACTAGCTAAAACACTAATCTTTCTAGCTAGTATACAGGAGTGAAAGAGATGTTCAAAATTAGGTTTACAATAATGTAAAAATACTTAATTACAGGTAAAGGTCCTGCATTCAGAAGTGTACTTAAGTAAAAGTTTAACACATTTCACTGTAAATATTAAGGAGTCAGCATCACTGTTGTAGCTGCCTGAGGTGGAACTGGTTTTTACTACTTTATATACAGTTATTCCATTAGTTCACAACCTAGGGGTCAGGCTCCTCCAGAACGTCACTAGATAAATAGGAGGGGGTCATCAAATGTTTAATGGAAGAAGAAACAAGAAAAGTTATGATACTCAAATCTGTGTTCACTGTTAGAACTTTTCTCTAATTTTTGCTTTTTGTTAAATTTCGGATCATTTGGTAGTTAGTGAGAAAGAAGCTAGTCAGAGTTTACATAGCAAGACATTTGCTTTTTGAGCTGGTATCATCAGAAAGTCTTGAGCTCAGACCTATAGCATTTTATTACAGAAGGATACAATGAAGGAAGAACCCACTAAAACTAAAATATGTCTGGTGCTGTGTTTACTGCTGTAATATCACATTAGCTATAGCCCTTGCACTTACAGTATAAAGAGAGAAAAGTGAAAAATAAAGTAAAGTTTAATACAAACTGAACAGCAGCAAACATGAACATTATACTGTACTTATTAGTGTTCACTTTTTGTTGATGCTTGTTAGTATTAGTGTTATATTCTTCTAGTTGCAAAGTGTAAAATGAAACAATGTTTCTGACATAGTTTATCTTCATTAACTAAACTTTGTAAAAAACAAAATTATATACATGCCCATATAAACCCTTGCACTTACAGTATAAAGAGAGAAAAGTGAAAAATAAAGTAAAGTTTAATACAAACTGAACAGCAGCAAACATGAACATTATACTGTACTTATTAGTGTTCACTTTTTGTTGATGCTTGTTAGTATTAGTGTTATATTCTTCTAGTTGCAAAGTGTAAAATGAAACAATGTTTCTGACATAGTTTATCTTCATTAACTAAACTTTGTAAAAAACAAAGTTATATACATGCCCATATAAATAATGAGCAGGTTACATTATTATTATTATTATTATTATTATTATTTGTGTGTATATAGTTATATTCAGGGTTGGACAGTGAGTGGGAGGGTCACTTAATTTTTCACACTGAAGGTGATAATACTGCCTGGGATAGTATGATAGGAGCTTCTAAAGAGGTCGCCCAAATGTCATTCCCATTGTAAGACATGAAACAAATGCTACAGTATGAGTGAGATCACAGATCACAATTTCATCCTGTCTCATGTTGGTTTTCTCTTTTCTCACTGAGCATTCAGGCCAGTGCAGGGCCATGTCAAAGCCTGGCTGACTGACAGAGAGACAGAGGTGGTGTGGGGAGAGGCTGGATCAGCATGTTAACGGCATGCAATTCCTTCCTTCACTGCCACAAATCTCTCCCATCGCCTCTGAAAGTCAGGCTTCGCTGCCTTCTGGCAGACCTGCAGGCACCGCCGGCCCGGCACATGAGCTTTTATCAGCCTCGGCCCAGATGGCACTGCGGCAGGAAAGTCCTGACACCTCCACTGATGAGGAGAGGGAAGGAAGAGAGGGGAGGGAGGTGTATGTGAGGGCAGTGTGGAGAAGAAAAGGCAGAGTCTAAGGGAAAAGTTCTACTTTTTCACTAAAAACTACAGATGTAACTAATATTCATCTTAAAGAAATCAAATGTATGGGCTTTCTTATTAAAACAAATCATGAAGATAATGGCAAGAAGAACATACATTTACCCCATTCACTCACTGAGTAACATAATACATCCAAGAGTTTTTTTTGTCCAATTTTTGTTAGTACACTGAGATCATTTCACTTGTTTCTAAAAGGCGAAAACATCTGGGTTGAAGAAATTATTCAATCTAGGAACAGATACAAAGAAACTACATCACTTGCAGAGATGTGCTTTCGAGTCTCAAATAAACAAACTTCATATTTGACTCACAAATCATCCCTAATATTTTCCTAGATATTTTTAGTTGAGGACTAAACTGTAGACAAAAGCTGCATTCACATTACAGGGCTTAATGTTCATTACAGGCCTCATTGTCACATCCAATCTATTTGTGTTGGTGATTTACAAAGGCAACAGAAGTTTTTCACAGTGGAAAGAGTCTTACCACTACCTGTACACAATTTACATTTTACAGTGATGTTCTTATCACCTTTTTTCCCAATAAAATCAAAGTATTTCCAGGCACTGAACGTGGCCCCTTCTGTCTTCCAAGCTACCTTGTTGCTTATGATGCTGCTAAATGATGTATAGCGATGTGTGTATGTGCAAAGACTACAAATATTAAATGTCAAATTTCAAATCAATCTTTGTCTTTGATGACAACAAAAGTAACATAACAAGTTGTTTTTCGAGAGAGTAGATGTAATATTATTACTGAAATTTTATTTGTAACTTTTTACGCTACTCGTTACTGGGAAAAGTAATATTATTACAGTAATGTGTACGACCCAACACTGGTCACCTCCCTGTCTAATGCCCTTCTTGCTCAGTCATTTGGTTTTGGCCAGACAGCTGACTCCAGGTAAAGTCCCGGTGGTTCCAAACTTCAGTTTCACAGTTGTTGAGGCCTCTGTGCTTATGGAAACACTCAAAGCTTTAGAAAAGGCTTTATAACCGTGTTATGATCTATACCCCTCCACAGTTTCATCACAGATGTCTACAGAGAGTTCCTTGGACTTCATGGTTTGGTTTTTGAACTGAAGTGCAATGCGAAGTGTAGGAGCTTGTACTTCTGAACGATGTCCAATCAATTCAGTTTGCCACAAGTGGACTCCAGTTAAGTTCTAGACAGATCTCAAGGATAATCAAAGCAAACAGGATGCACCCTGTCCATAGCGAAGGATCTGAATGTTTCTATAAACAAAACATTTCAGTTTTTTAAATAATAAATCTGTAAAAAAGTATTTATTATGGGTTAATAATTGTAGAAAATCAAAAAGACAGTTTTATCCATTTAAAATTAAATCTACAACTAAATAAGAAGGGGTCTGAATATGTCCTGAAGCCGTGCCATCAACTATCAGCATATTTTGTTGTAAATATCACTCATGGAACAATAGTAAATTAAAGCCTAGAAAAGCAGGTTGAACCTACTGTGCCATACATTCCTGTATCTAGATCACCCCCGTTCCTCCTCAGTGATAAAGCGAGTTTGAAAAAAGTAACAGACTCCCAATTTCATTCTCCTGCTTTTTCTTGCCGTTCCACGCAGTGATTGTTTAGATCCCTTTTGCAGTGGACAATTTCTGCTGCACTGCATGCTACACTGCCATGAAATTGGTACTGAGGCTGCCTTCAGTTTGCAGGAGAGAGGATGGGAGGAGGAGAGATGAATGAAAGTGACAGAGAGCCCCACAGGTACTGTGCTGTTGTTAAACCAGGAAAAATCAACTGCATTACAGAGCTACAAAAAGAGAGGGTCAAAAGGAACATGGTAGAGTAGAATCAAAGGCCTGTGGCACTTTATACACCCAAATACATGTGTTGATTTCTGTTGATTCAAAGATGTCACACCCCAGGATAACAGCACTGTCAAAAAGCTGGTACTGTACATCACAGATGGAGACCTGAAACTTCTCACTATGGTAACTGCACTATACTGCTCAGAGCACGGTACTAACAAGAAGACAAAGCACACACTGGCTCACTATGGCAACTCAAGAGGTAAACACTTTCACACTTTTCTGTATATGCACGTAGGCGTTTATTTAACATGGGATTTTGACAACTGCTCGTGAATTTGACTATGCTTAAGTGGTGGGAAAATAGAGTTGGGATTTTGTAACAATCAAGCAAAGCAGTGCAATTTTCTTCTCAGGAATTACAGGGATTTTTGGAGGCATTGTCCAACAACCATGTCCAGAGTGTAAGAAAATGGCACTCAGTAATTAACACCCCCCCAAAAAATCATATTCAGGCTATTACCAGGATTTTTTGTGGCTAAGTTGGCCAGTTTAACTTATTTAAATCTACATTATATTCAGTGGTGGGGGCTCTGGTTCCTTCCTGGGAGAAGCTTTTGTGACAGATTCAGTTCAAACTGCTCGAGCCATCACAAAACAACTGAAGTGCTGTGGCACAGATATACTGCTTTCAGAAAAAGGAAGTAAGGTAATTGTATTAGTCATAACTCATGGCAGCACCTGTGACTAACATTTATTCCCTTTAATGGTCCCCTGCAGTGTTGCCAACTATTTATAAGGGAAAGTAGCTAAAGAATATTGGAAACCTTTCTAGATGACGTCACATGCCAGTTTACATGTTGATGATATCATCATGGCATATTTGTGTAGAAAATTGCTAAATATTTTACGTATTGTTATAAATATAAATTGCTAAAATTCAAGTAAACAACATACATTGTATAAGAATATTGTATTAGTCTTTAGCATGTACAACCCCAAATCAGTTGGGATAGTATATAAACTCAAAATTAAAACTGGAAATAGTGATTTTGTAAATCATGTACTGTCACGCTCCTGCCCCTCTTGCTTCCTGTCATGCTTTTATTTTCACATGACTTCCTGTTTTGTTTCACCTCAGTTTTGGCCCTTTTATTTAATCATCATTAGTTCACCTGCTCCTTATTGTTTGCACC